CGATAAGCTCCGTAACCAAATATATACATATATATATATATATATTTACGTAGACATTTATATGCATAATGAAATGTGCAAATGGGCATATAAAGTAGTGCGGAAATCATAACTCACGTTTTAAGATGTGAGTGGTATATTTCAGCTCAAAACAAGCCTTAGTAGTGGAGATGAATTCTACATAGTTTTGCCAATGAGAAAGGAGTTTATTTATTTCGACATGTATTTAAATTGTACAGCTTACACTACGTTGACAAATTTCGGCTATGAAATTATTAATTAATGATTAGAATTATTGATTTCGGTAGCCCTAATTCTGGAGTGCTCGCAAGAAAGTCTTTGAAGGCAGTTTCAGCCTCGATTTGGTTACTGAATAATTTCTCGAGCAGAAAGTTGTCTAGATGCTTGAAGAACAAGTATTTAGCAAAAGAGAGGTTCCACAAATATGCTCCATGAACTAAAGCTTTATAGCTCAGTTAGTTCAACGTTTTAAGCCTCAGTAGTGCGACACATGTCCAAGCTGCGTGACAGGAAGGATTGCTTCCTTTCTGTTGCTCATTGCCAAGGGAAACTTTGAAGTTTGTAACTCCCACGTCCGACTTTCTATTAACCTCGGCATTGATTGAACAATTCTTTCTACTTCTGTTCAGCAAACACGAGGTGCTATTTTATTTCTTTATTTGCGTACAAGCTGACGTTTCGGAGTTTCCGATAAAGAAATAAAATAGCACCTCGTGTTTGAAGTTTGTTTTGTCAAAGTTCCGGTAGACCAGCTGCATTTTTGGTATTACAGAATGAGGCGCGATGATCGAAGAAGGTGGGTGAGTGCAGGGCAGTAGTTAGAGGCGCCCTGCAATGCACATGGGTTCGATCCCGTGCCCTAAGAAGCCTTCCATCCCTCTTGAGTCAGCAAATTGTTACCGAACTTGTCTGGGAGGATAATAGCACTGGTTCGATACAAAGGTAGGTTTGTTCCTACTCCGTGACTTGTTTCAAGCAACCATTCCAGCAAAATTGTGGACTGAACTCACAACACGTGCAATTCTGGGATCGTGAATATGCGAGAGTATTCACTCGTTTCTCTCAGTGTAAAGTTAATTGTTAGTTAAACTACAACATCTTCCCTTTTGAAAATTAGTGCGGTTCTTTTATTACGCTTTGCTTTTTACTTTCTTCCAGGATTATTTTAAAAGACCGTAAACCGCTTTCGATTTCAGTAACTTAAATTGAAAACGTAATCCGGGAGCAGTTAGAGAAACAGGGCCCCATAATTATCTCCTTATAGGTCACTTAGGATTTAGTTTGACGTAGACAATTAACAAAGTAACGCATGTTTTCAAACTCAAAATATTTGAGTACGTGAGCTCAGAATTATGTCAATAATATTCCTTTTCACCTCAGTACTCACTGTCGGTGCAAATAAGAAAAACATGTTTGTTGTCTAAAATTCAGTTTATGCTAGGATAGTTATTCAATAATTGTGGTTTTATAAGCAAAATAACTTGCTTTGTTTCGGAAAACTTATCTTGTTTTCTTCAATAGTAGTTTTCCAACAAGAGCAACTCCTTAGCTAATACGTTTCTGAAGATCCCAACAATGAACAACAAGAGGGATCACGGTATGACGAACTTCCTTTGTCCATTGCACTTCTTTGCTTTCAAAAACTTACCTTACCCTTTTAAAACGTATGATGTCGGCGATGATTTTCGCAGAGAAACTTCCATGATTGATTTCATGGTGATTCAACAGCCCGATTGTCATGGTTGGCGAAACAGTAACATTATGCATGTTCTTTTGATGACGTTATACAACGAAGTTTTGTAATTAATAGAATAAAACGGGTGTAGTCTGGCTGTTGGAGGTATTCCGCAGCAAACGTGGTCATTGGTACGATAACGCAGCCAGGCTGAACAAGCTTTACATTTTTCCGGGGGTGGCAAATCGGTATCAAATTTGTCTAGGAGTGTAAAAACTGGGACCATATATCGATGGGACACCTCATTTCATTCTTTATCTGTATAATCAATCACCTCTACGATTCTTAACTAAATCGAATGCAAAACGTATACCTGAAGGATAACAGCGAAAGCTTTACCTTTTTACCTACATCGTAATAAAGTAACTTTCAATAATTAGGATAGCAACAACTGAAAATATGATCATGAGAAGTGTAGATGCTTGATTGCTTTCAGGACATACCGAGTATAACTCAGCGACAACCAACAAGGCATCACCAACGAACCACTGCTCTATGGTGAATCCCAATGACCTTAAATTCTGCTAAAAATCCATCAGTAGTCCTTGACTCGTCAATCACTTCGGAACATTCTTTACACAGTCGGTGAAGGTTCGCATTTTTACACTGTTATCAACTTCAACCATTATACATAAGTTTCTTTGAGTCCACTTTTCATAACAAGTAATGTTCCTTTAAGAAGATAAGAGCTGATAAAGTTAGTGTAAAAATATTCGCTTGCTCTCAACAGCTATGCACATATCTCGGTGCCGAATCGAATTTATAATTTCTTATTTGAGTTCTACATATCCGCCCATGTGGAGGACTCCAACTTGTTTAGTCATGGAGTTAGGTGACGCCTTGGGTAAGACGGCATACGTAGTCAAAAAGCCACCAGTTAGTTAACGGTCTTGAGACCGTTGTTAGTTCTAGGGTTGAGTTCTCCTTCTTTGTTGCGCTACATTGACTTATGCCATTCATATATGTATACATATATAGTGGGCGTATATGGCGCAGTGGTCCGAGGCGCTTGGTAACACACGCGGAATCGATCCCAGCGCCCACGGTCCACTAAGCCTTCCATCCCTCCGGGGTCGGCAAATTTGTACCAGACTTGTCTGGAAGGATAGCAGCACTGGCCCGATACATCGATATGCCACCGCCAGTCATTGTAAAAGCCAGATATGCATTGATTCACATACAAACGATACTTAATGAAGTCGAATGCAAGACTCATCCCTCAGGGTTGATCAACGCCGAGAGCTTCACCCTTTATTTCAGCTCTGTATATATATATGTATATATATATTACACATATGTACGGATATACACTATATATATGCATTTATTACACCTGTATATAAGCATAAATTCACGTCTGCAGAGCATGCAAGTTTCCTCTGTATATCCTCTTGTCAAAATTCTGGCCCTTGTGGTAAAAATATAACACTTTTCGCATCGCTTGAAAATCTGTCTTTCCAATTTGACCTCAACAGTAGAAACTTCTGAACTAAAAAAATGTGGAAAGCATATTTTAACATTGCGTACATGAAATATCTGGTGACTAAGTGGAAGACAGCTGAAACAATACATAGTATTGGTTCCTGCTTCGTATGTTCCGAAATATGGTCCACTATTGGTGTGATCATGTGGGATTGCCACTAACTTATTGTGTACAATATATGAGACGAATGTTTTTCCAAATCCTCATCTTTTAAAAATAATAATGCAAACCACAAAATTATTTGTGATAGGGATGTGCGATCACGAAAGGAGGAGTACGCTACTTCGTAGATAATGTTATTTTTATGTCAAATTTTTTATGGTATAGCTATTTATTATCACACAGCATCTAATTCACTTTCAACGACTTGTGCAACTGTCGTCAGTAGCAAGAGTGCTGAGATATGAGCGAAACTCAGAACTTCAGCTGTGCTCGAACCCATGATTGTTCTTTCCGTGGGTTCACGTGCTACCACGCCAACCGAGGACTTTGATTTGTTGCCCTTTTATTCTGCAAACTTTAGTGTCATCATCAATCACCCGTCTGCGGGAATGATGTGGAAAGCACAGGTCGGCATTAGGCCCAGTTAAGCTAAAGTTGCATTCGAAACCACAATGCTTGACTTTTATTTACTGCCTGTAATTTTTTTTTGTGGCAAGGTACGGTGTGAAATAGAATCGCAAGAATGCCTAGATGTGAGGAGAACTCTGGACCACAGGTGTCTGCGATAGAGATCGAACACTCTATTACCCTTCCAGAGGGATCAAGTGCTATCCACCACACCAACCGAGGAGTATCGGTGTTGATGCTGGACGGATGAAAGGCCTGCAGTGCTGGATCGAACTAATGTGGACGTATGTATTGCACATCATCGTTAACCATTAACAATTATCACACTAGTCGAAATATTAACCAGACTTGTAGAAAGTTTTTAACATTAGATTTGTATTACAGCATTGTTCCTTCGTAGTAAATGTTATTTTCATCAGGGAAAAAATAGCGTAGTATTTAGCACCGTGGTATCGACGCGCTTTACTATGTCCTATTTTTGATAAAGGTTTTGTGATTACGATAGCACTGAAATCATGAATAATTCCACTAATTCCTTATGTGCAAATCCACTCATTTACTAAGCTGTCAGTATGAAACTGTATACGCGATTTACTGATTCAAAAGACCGGCTTTCTATAAATCCCGGCATAAATAGTTAATATATTTACTTATATGATCTTATAAAGTGGGGTCCCACTCGTAACAGCACGGCTCTGAGAAAGGCGAAATCGCCGAAACGTCAACCATCGACCAACAACACCAACAACAACGACAACGATAACGAAAACCTATACCAACCTCGCTCCAGCTGAACAAGATCAGTTTATAATATTTATTGTTTGTTCCTTTATTGTATACGGCTCAAAAAACGAAACACACTAGAAATAAACAACACAAAATGCACTGATCATCAAAAAACCCTTCTCTTAAGAGAATGTGAGTAGTAAAGTGATGCGATCTGATCGCTACTAGTCACACATTAAGTACAAATTAAGTGCGTTTCACCCAAATAACTTTCCGTGTTCTAAATGAATTTTTATCGTTTTCATGCTTTTTATCGTTTTCTCCAATAAGACGTAATGCTAAGTGAAGAGTAGTTTCAATAAAGATAGTAATAATGCCAAATTTAAACTTTTATTTCATTCAGTTGGCAGTGCTGTCCCACAAAGAAGAGATCGTTTATCGTCAGTTTGATCTGATATGATTCGCTCACACTGACAGATTTTCGTGATTCGATTCTTCTTCGAATTTTCTTTCATCGGTAGCTGTACGATTCAGAAATGTCCTCAATAGCGAAGACTGATAGAAACCTAGAAGTGGACAGAAATCGATGTGTTTATGCGGTGTTTCGCTTTCGATCCACTGAACCTGCGCATTGTTTCGTTCACCTTCACATGTCTCTCGTTCGGAGCGTTTTTCGACAGACCACATTTCTTTGAGGAACGCTTGAGCGATGGACGGATGGCGAGAAGGGAGAGGACGTTGAGGCGTTCGTTCATCTGCGAGCCGCTGAACCTCGGCTGTGAAGACGTGTGACCACCAGCGCAAGTCCGATGCATATCCGATGTTCAGCACAACAACGACTGACTGATATGATTTCTTTGCTTACTGACTAAATCAGCTCTTCACTAATTCATCGAATTCATGACAATGAAACAGCATTCTGCATTGGGTCGTCTAATATATTTCGTGTAATAATAATATTCCGAACTATACTAGTGATGCAGGAATGTGCACAGTGTTTATCACTCTTATATGGGATCAGTTCTCTTTTTTTTCCAACTCAGTCACAGTGCGGTGTGTTCGATATGTCATTTAGTACCTGCTTCAATACAGCAAATAATCACTACACCCACGAAAACACTGTTTTCGTCCGACATGTTCATGTCAGAACAATAATATTGTGTTCGGTGTGAACATTACGGGTGTATGCGTGCATAGAGATCTCTTCCAAACCTCACCAGAAGCTCCTTAACAAACAAAAATGCTGAATTATGATTCATAAAAAACGAGTGAATGTTGACTATGCTACTGGAAATAGTTCCTGCATATGCCAGTTTTTTCACTAAAAATATCAAGGTTGTTTCGTCCACGACAAAGCAGGGCTGAAAAACTTGTTCTGATGAAGAACTGATCAGTAATGTAATACATGAACCGATGTAATGAGATATACTCTAAGTTTGAAAAAATCAGTACGGTTAAGAACTGACGATCTGACATGTCGACACATATTGGACCAGCTTAGAGAAAAAGGTGTTATCTTCATAATAATGCAAGACCGCATGGTGCAGACGGCTCTTCATTTCGAAAACCATGGCCTTGAAGGTAACCATATGACATCAATACTTCAGCATCAATTCCAGTTTAATTTCTTGCCACTGTACAACGAGTTCCGTTTGAGGAATTCTCACAATGATGCTGCACTTTCCGAGATTTCTTTCACTAAAGTTTTACGATTTTGCAAGGATTCGTAGTCTAAGTAGAGGGTTAATTTTCGGAGCTCTGCTTGTGATATTTTCGATTATCCATTTTACTCTATTGCTTTTGTAGGTGTAGTGTATGTACATATATGTATACATATTGCACCTACAAAAGCAGTACTGTATTATACATAATATATAATATTTTGGAGTATATGAAGGTTTTTGTAGATTTCAATTAGCTGTACAGTTATCAGAAAAATCTGAGCGCTTGTTATAAGGACTGTATCTTGGCCGGCCGAGCATCCTTAGCATGTTAAGTAAATTGAATCGAGTTATTCGAGTAATTCAGTGGTGGAGATTTGATCGATGTGAAATATGTTCCACTGGAAGATCGACGAAGACGAGAGGTGTGGAAGGTGACGGCAGTAGTAAACAAGAACGTCGGTCCGATCGCAGCTGAAGGTGAATCAATTTGTCTCTTGTCGGATCGCGCTTCTTCACATTCCGCAAATGCCTAGCACTATACTTATCATGCTCATACTTAGGTCACTGCACTAAATAAGCTTCACACCAATTTAAACACTAGGTGTTGTTCTTCGTTCGAAAAGAAAATCGAAACGCTAGGGCATGCGAGTAGCCACAGCATTTCATGATGTAGTAATGTTTTATATGCTGTGAATGTAAGGACCAAACGACAACAACAACAATAACAGCAAAAACAGCAACAATGAACAAGCAAACAAGCAAGCAAACAAACAAACAACAACCAAAGCAACAACAACAGCAACAATTTTGGACATTACCTACGGGCATTATACTTTACAGTTTTAGTTTTAAATACGAGATTAGTTGAGGCGAAGAAGGTCGTTAGTAGTGTTGTCTAAGGATCTTCAACGTTTTAAAAGCCATTTGATCTCAACAAATCGTTTTTACCAAATCATCAACATATTACGACTGGTTAAAAACACAGTGTAGAGTAGTAGAAATCTCATGCTGACACCTCCCAGTTCAGAGAATGAAGTCACCATAATGATCAATTGCATTGAAATCGTTACGATAGCTCGAATTGAACGACCGAAAAACGCCCATACGTTATCATCCGCTTGATTTTCGCTGTCCGATGTCTGCAGGCCGTTCGTCGATGGCAAGGCCCCTAAACTCCATAGTAAAAGGGTCACACCAGTAGCTCGATTTGAACATAAACGAAAGAGGTAACACGTTTCATTCAAAGCTGAACCATCTGTAAAGTTGTCTTATCATTCCATCCTAGAAACATTCTTGTCCTACAAAGAAACTGCTTGTACTACCACAAATTTGAAAAGTCTTTTATTTCACATGTGCGTACTGGAGAGTTGTGTTCCTCATAACTGGTAACAGTGTCCTTCCATATGGTTTACTAAGCGAAAAAAAACTAGAATTAGTAATCGATCGTCTTGTTCATCGTTGAATTTCAATGCTTAGTACCAAACAACAGCGGTGTTCCTCTTCACCTCACTAAATTGAGTTTCAAGCTAAATAAAATCCAGGGTACTGACTTGACTGGATGAACGAAAAATATTATTGAAACTCCACTATTTTGTAATTTATGCCTAGCATTGACATTTGGAATTATCGTTAGCATGACTAAGCGTCAATCTAGTTGTACACGTCATCATGCACAAAACGGACCACCGAAATGTCATCCGTGACGACGGTGAGAGGACGGAACAGGTAGTAAATGGGTACGGTCTGGCAAAAGTCGTAGAGAAGAATATTATACGCATCCAAGCAGGTGATCAACTGGGAGTAGTTCGCATGATCAAAAAAAGTGCACTGAACTTTGGCATAAGTATAGTGACTCCTCTGTGCGTACAGTAAGCAGTGCAATCGATGTGCAAGAAGAAAAAACGTTTATGAAACGATAACCCAGTGGTTGAGAGCACAGAAATGAACATAGCCTTCGTATGGTCATATCCATGATCTCTACAATGAGCTACCAAGCCACGAAAAGCAAGCCGAATTGATGAGGATCAATATGGCATTGTTGGTAAGCCGTCATATCTGTAACAGAAGAGAATTCGGGACATTTAGCCGCCGTTAGATTACTGCTAAAGTCTACACAGCGATTGAACAGCGTTACAGATGTTCACATAGCACTACCTCATAGCAGCAGCCTAGCAACTATTTGATCAGATTTTGCCAGATTTGCTAAGCACATCGTGCATTCGATATCATAACACCTTTCGCACGATTAACTATTATGAGAATGGGGAGAGAAATCAATGGTCGATACATGAGACAGATGCGAATGATCACATGCGTAGACTTTTAGCCGAGAGCATGGAAATGAGCATAGCCTTCGTATGGTCATATCCATGATCTCAACCAACAGGCTACACGACGAACATGAACAGGCAGAACGAGGGGAAGAGGACTCGGCGATAGAAGTGAGAACGACAGCCGTACACGAATTCCGTTGAATGATGCTGGTAGAGATGAACGCAGTGTTTTTCAGCGTACCTGTTTGAGAAATGAACGAATACATAAAATCAAGACGGGGGCAACCGGACAGTTGCCGATACTGGTCACCAGCGCCACCACACCGCCGCCGAGCGCGATCTCGCCATAATATACGATATTGCAGAGTGGTGGGGTCAACAGGAGGCGGGTCCGGAGAGGCGGCGGCGGGCGGCGGCGGCGGTGACGAATCGGACGGCGCTCTCGTCCATCGACTCTGATCGCAATCACATTCCGCAGCGATCAATTCCGTGTCACTTGGACTCGGAGGCGGACGGAATCCGTTTAGGCTTAGTGCAGGGGAAAATGGATGTGATTCGTGGATGGAGTCGAAAAAATGTCTGAAGGAAACAATGCCGATCTCTGGAAGGTAGCTTGTCAGAAGTTGGCTGGACACAGAAATTACGACATGGCAGCCTCATGAACTGCAGCCGATCGCACTCTCGCCAGCACCAGAGAACGGTTTTTAGGAAGAGATAAGATGGTTGGTTGTGGGGTGTTGGTGGTGGTGGAGGCTTCAGTGACCTTCAGTCTGAATTGCGCAATTTGATCCGAGTACTTCCGATACGATCGCAAAAGATAGCAGATAAAGACAAACGCCGATGTAAAAATCAATGCAGTCGTTTGATACAGTCACTATGTAATGGAGTCCGTTAAATGATCTCGGTTTAATAAACGTTACGATGCGATGCTCTTCGGGCGACATGGATTTCTGGTGACGTTCGCGGAACGGAGACGACGAGTAAAGGCCCGACGGATATGACGAGATCGGCGACGACAGAGCACCGACTTTCAGTCGCCGTATGGAACGTCGTTGTTAATGCTTCCTGGCTACTTGCCTTCCGTCAGCCGATCGATTTGTTCGTTCGTTTGTTCGATAGGTCTCAACACGAGCTGCCTCATCCAGCAGTTTTTCGCCGGCGACCGACGTATGAGTTGCGATATGACGACAGTCGGGCTTCCGGAGGCAAACACACTCGCAAAGGGAATAAGTGCATTTGCGACCGAGCCGTGTGTGGAGACATCTACGGTGTCATAAACCGGCTGCACTCGCAACATTTTCGGAGTCAAGAGTGCAAAGGAGCGAAACACGACATGTATCCACGAAATCCCTCAACGAGCATGAGACAGCACGTTGGTCACTAGAATCCTTTTACATCACTCGATTGGGTCAGTCAAATTTGACAATTTCACGCAGTGATTCCGTATATGGCACACATGAGATGCAGAAATGTGCTTAGCGATGCAAGGTTGTGGTCCAATGAAGAATTCTGTAGCAACGAAATCACTGAACGCCTCAAGTAGCTAATATTCTACGACATTTGTTCATATTAGCTCTTGACTAATGAAAATAATATGGAACATCTTGAAGGCTTTGACATAAAAATGAATACTGCCATTTGCTCTCAAATGCAGAGTTTTGCTGATACAAAGCTTATGTACATCTAGAAAAACCTAACGACTTGTATACAACATCCAGTTACATCCTGGGTGATGTAGTTATAAGCTCCCTGTTTTAGACCACAGTTTCATCAGAGTGCTGAACAGCTCATTTTGACAACTCGCAAAGATTTTCTTTCGTATTTAGCGACAATTTGAAATACAGTGAATAATGTAAAGTACAAAAGAAACTTTTTATATACTGAGACTGTGTTAACACAACAAGGCCGGTTTTCCTACTTGCTCCGTATCCAAAAAATAATCGCTGCCAAATTCAAGTTACGGAGGGAAAGGCTCATTATCCGTTTCTTTGGCGTCTTCTCTTCATAAGAGTATCACGCATCTCATCCATTATCATTTTTCTCTAATATGAAAGAATAAACAAAGAGAAAAGAATGTAAAGAAAGCCATTTTTGTTTCCGTAAATTATTCGTGAAGATAGCACGCATTAGAGAATGTGAAATTCAACACCTGCAGATTCGTCACCACGGCAGAAATGCGACGTGAGTTGTAGGCAGAATAATTTTGTTATCATAAATATAAGTATATCTCAGCAACATGGATTCTCTTCCTTGATTCGATGTGCAAAAGAAGAAATACCAATTTTGGAAGGCAGATATCTTTGTCAGTGGAGTTTTGAACGTCCATCTCTCTATAGATAAAAAAATTCACCGCACGAATAATCTTGTTCATTGAACGTATTTTTATACTTGCAACATTAAGACCAACCAGGACTTTATTCTGTGAGAAGGAGAGTAGATAACTCTTTGTCGATGCCGTATCAGTTATCAGTCCTTTTTTGAAGCAAATGCTTTCGATATAGGTGACTTTTCGTCTTTTTGCTGCGAGGAACTTTCCTTTAGTTGACTGTTTCCTCTACTTCATATTGTGCCAACCAGCGACTCCACTCGCTGTTATCAGTGTCGGTTGATGTATGCGAGAAACGATGTCATGCACGAAATGAAACGCTGCTGAACTTTTCATCGATTGTTTTCCACGAGTGTTTGATTGTGCATATGAACAAAACGAAAAAAAATCACCTGGATGTATAATAAAACGAAGCTAGTAGGAGGGGTACGGGTAGGACAATGTAGGTCCTGATCAATGGAATACGAATTCTGCACTTTTGAAAATGTTGTAACACTCATCCCATGGTTTTTCGATTATGCTGAGGCTTCAGGTTAGCTTGTGGTGTGCTGAAGTCTTCATACGGTAGTTGTGACGTTACATGTATTATGTCAAGGGCCGGGTCAAATGCAAGGTCATTTCGGCAGTGGTTTTGGCCGACAGCTACGCTTAGAAAACTACACATTATCGGACACAGATACACCTACCCATGCAAACACCTATAAATTTGTCCATACTACCATCTATTGACTCATAATAGCGTATATCACATACACAGTACATTCTTATTTGTATGTGATGAGAAACTGAAATTATTCAGTACTGTAAGGTGATCCTATTCGACAAGGCAATAAATGGTCAAGATCCTTACACGATGGGATATTTCTCCTTTCGTTCGCATATTCTCTGTTCGTGTAATATGTGTATAAAACAACTTCAGTATTCATGAAGATTTCAATTTTTATGGACATTTATTTGGCTGAAACCATGGGTCTATGATCAGTAACGGGACAAGAAAGCACCTACGTCCAAATCGTATCAGGCATTTTTCTCCTCCAGCAATAATTTGTTACATAACGACTATGAAATGACTTGTGTATTGTTCCGATTTACATTCGTCATACGACTGACGCCAGTTCCGTGGTGAGTTTCGCGGAAGACATAAATTTTCACCAGCACTTACACTTGGTATAAACTTTGACTGTCAAAAAACGAAGAGTGCACTATGTGACGGAAACAAGCCGCCGAGCATTGAGGCGTTGCTCAGATCCGATTTTGCTATTAATAAACCTGAGTGAGACTAACTTATGACCATTAAAAGGGTAAAGAGAGTGAGTTATTAGTTTTAGGTGAAGTAAGAACGATTTCGTGGCTGAGGAAATATCATATACGACCGATACTAGTGTAAAAATTACGACCTGTTTTGTAAAACCTCAAATAGATAATTTTTTGATCAATTAATGCTCGAAATGCTGGGTGTTCAAAATCACAGCTAGGTCTGGTGTAGCATTGATTTCACAGTCGAAAAAAGCTGCAATGTCCTCCTGACAGACCTGAGTATAAGTCTTTCAGCGGAAAAAAGTTGCAGTGGACTTCTGACAGGTCTAAGTATAAGTCTTTAAAGTTATACAATATCGAGAACCGCAATGCATAAACAATTGTTGGGATGTTTACAGCCATTTATACATGAGACGATTTTCTCCTTTCTCGCTAATATTAAGCACCCAATTAATCTCTTCGCTCCTTAACATGGCATTTGCGAACGAAAATAGGTCTTTTCTTTTCATTTGTACTGTAACGAGGACTACAATGCATGAATAATTACGAGAATAAGTGCTACGGATCATTCAGACGTGTGAAGAATTTTTCTTGTTTGGTTTGAATATTAATTATGCATTTAAACTCTGCTTTCCATGACATCACAATCTCGAACGAAATTCGGTATCGCCCAGTCGCTTCAATACTTTCAAGTGTAACTTGGAAGGGTAACTTAAGAAAAGAAATGCATAACACTTACGTTGTCCACGAAATCTCTGTTGTCCTTCACGAATTATTAAATGAAATTCCTTCTCTTAGCACTGTGGAATTGACTGCACACAGACGGAAAATTTAACTTTCATTAATTATAGACTCCGTCAGTATTACTCGAAAATAACTTCTCTATTTCTGTATGAGAGAATAGCAAGTCATGAAGAAGAAAATAATCTAGTTGCTTTCAGTGATACGCTGCTGTCACCCAGCCGATCGTTTATTATCATTTGCACCCCTTGAGTGTCCAACGTTTCTCTTCTTCGAATACAATATCGGCTAGAATCTTGTCATAGAACCCAATAGGATGTTCATCACAAATACTTCGTTGTGAAATAGAACAACGGCAGATCTGGTTTTTTTATGACACCAGGGTATATCGTGAAGCAGCAAACGGATTTACACCGAAACTAGTATATGATGCTGAGATATTTGCAAAACTCCGGACCGCAGGTGTATGCGGTGGGGAACGAACACGTGCTGTTGTCCTTACCGAGGGTTTTCGGCTCCCCAGATCAATCCCGTTGACAGGTGATTGCTGATGGCAAAAAGATCGATAGAACTAGCTCAGAGACAGACGAAGGACCCGGATGTTGTGGTGGTGAAGTGCGCTGCTCCACGGTAAGGACAACAGCGCATGTTCGTTCGCCACCGCATGCACTTGTGGTCTGGAGTTTTGCAAATATCTCAGCACCATATACGAGTTATATTTCGCAACATACCCTGCCATTAAAAAGAAAAAGGCAGTAAATAAAAAGGCAGTAAATGAAAAGGGTTAAAACCGAAACTAGTATTTGCCAGGGTTGAACGTCTATTGTTTGAGCAGGGTGCAGAATTCATTCGCACTTTGAAGAAGATGATCATTCCGCTGGAAGCTCAACTAGAACCTGGCAAGGACTGTGTACTACGAAAGATCGTCTACACCTATAGCAAGAATTCGTGACTTTAAAACAGAACTTAAATTCACGTTTTTCTTGATGAGCAGACAAAAGGGTTCTATTACAATTTATTCACAATAGCTGACGTTTCGTTGGTTTCATCTTCTTCAAAGCGAAGAAAGTTCAAGCTGACATGCAATCTATTCAATCAACTGCTTTCATATTCTCAGCAGATAGAAACTTAACACATAAATTTTTATTCGCGTAACAAACATCTTATCTTAAACACTCAACGTTTTGTTCTTTAGAAGTTCTCCACTAATTGTTGGAGACCAGCCGAACAGTTATTAAATGGATGAGGAATGTGGCTGGTTCTAAACAGAAAAAAATGTTTTCAATTGCTAATCCAACACAGTACATAAGTTCCATCATGGAGAAATCGAGGAATTACTGGCTTTTGGCTCTGCACACTCAAACTAAGTTTTTTCAAAACAGCTATTTCACCAACTAGCAGCTAAACTCAGTAACAAAACATACAAATGGTTCATTGTCTCTACTCTGACCCTTTATACACAAAAAAGGCCCATGGGGAAAGATGACTCGAGTAGCCATCAATGTGTGTAGAGGAAGAGACCAGAAAGATTAATCCATGAAATTGGCGCAGCATATAGCCATTTCCCACGGCCTCTCGGAATAGGTTTAGGGCAAAAAAAGTGGTCCGTTTAACCTGCTTGATCTCTAACGAATAAAGGACAACTGTGAAGCCTAAGATGCGATTCTTGCAAAGGGAAGGCCTAAAGAATTCCATAGGAGCGAATGAAATACCGCAGAACACTCTAAAACGCCAGATGGCTTGTAATCGCCTGCATGACCGTCACTGTTCCAATAAAATTGTATAACTTGTCTTAACGGTAATGATGGCAATTTCGTGAGTTCACTTATGGTGTATGTTATCTCCTGTATAGCGTGTAAGGACGAATGCGTTGACGAAACGGGAACAGTGTGTGCCTATATAAAAGACCACCTAATCGGTAAGCTTAGAATTAAACAAGGTACTTCACTAAGCGCCCATAGAGTACAAAGAGC